TTAGCATGCCGGGCTGCGCGCGCCTCATGAATATACAACGGTGACGCCTCGCTCCCGCCCACCTGCCCCACTTCCGCCCTGACCCGCAGCCCCTACCAATGGATGAAGGGGGGGTGGAGGGGAGCCGCGGAAGCTCGCTACCTGCCCGGCGGGCCTAACCATTCAGACCCACGTGGCGGGTGACGAGGGAGAGGTCCTGCGTCTCTGTGGCTGCAACCGCGAACACCGCCCTCTGCCGGGAGAAGCCGTGAAGACCTCCCCACTCCCACGCAGGGCCCACGTGGCTGTAAAGCCTGGACTTTCTAATACCCTAGACCAGGACGTTACAGGAACCAAAAATCGAATGAGAGACTGTTATCTTGGCAAAAAATGTAGTGCCATTCTTTCTAGCATAATAGTTTTCGTGTGTGCAATATCCATGGAGCACACGGGGAGGGGGGGGAGTGACAGCTATCCTTCATTAAAAGCTATGTGCCAAGAACAGCTCTTAGTCTAGGTCAAGTGCTAGATGGAACTTAATATAAGCTCTGGAGTTAGATTACCTACTTTTGAATCCCAGGTCTGCTCCTTTCTACTTGTGTTTCTAATTCAGAAAAGCTAGTTATTGCCAATGTGTGCCTAAACAGTAATAAATAACCATTTACCTGCACTTGCTGTATGCCAGGCACTATATCAAACATTGTGTGTGTATTTTCTCACTGAATCCTCACAACGCCAAGTCATAGATTCCACTAGTCTCACCACTTTACATCCAGGAAATTTGGGCTTTGAGAGTTGAAGTGACTTGCCCAAGGACACATAATTGATAAAAATTTAAACCAAGGTTAGTCTGACTGCCAAGCCCTATGTTTCACCAGGATTCCCTACTGACATAAACCAAACCTTAGTGAAAAGAACAGGTGTTCTCCAAAAGTATGTTATCTGTCCTACTAGTTTGATTTCTCCCTCAGTAATTTCATTCGTTCTCCCAGCTACAACTGTTCCTTGAATGAAAAATATGCGGCACCCAGTGGGCCCTCAAAGTATCCACTGAATTATTTTGCCCACAGCTGGCAAAAGATTTCAAATGTATGTTTCTGGAGGGCAGATTCAGTAACTCTCACTCTGTAGCCCTGTAGCTCTCAGTCTAGGGCCTGATAAGATTACAGGGACTCTGCCAAGCTGGCTGGCTCCTAAATCTGGCCTTCATCTCTTATGTTCCACTTTCTAATTGCCTGACGAAAATTTGCATAGAGCTGACCAGCCCACACTTCAAACTCAGTTTGTCCAAAACAGTTCAAGAGTTACTTTCTAAACTAAAGAGCTGAGAAACAGACAGGATCAAAGCATGGAAGAGTGACCCATCTACTACTCTTCTTTCTTGTACCACTATCTACACCTGCATTTATCTCACTCCTGACTGGACTGTAAACTCCTCCAGGGAAGGGTCCATGTTTGTGACTACTAGCATCATTCTTCACATAGAAAGTTAAGATAATGAGAAACTATGTCAGGCACTGTGCTAAGTAAGCACTTGACATGTTTTCTCTCTGTGCCTCTTCACCAACTAGCATCACCATTCCAAACACCCAGGTCCAAAAACCTGAAATCCTCTTCTACTTCCTCTCTTAAGCTAGTAATCTGCCCCGGTTTATCTCTTAACCAGAATGCTCTATTAATTCCCTATATATGAGCAAGATAATCCATGTAGACTACATACACAGGGCCTTAACATAAGCTAAGTGCTGAGTGAATGTCAACTATGATTTTTATTATATACATCATCATCCCCCTTTCCTCTCCCTTCACACATACGTAGCTAGCAAGAAGTAAGACTATTCTCAGAAAGGCAAAAGGTACAAAAAATACCAACTTGGTTTATTGGATAAAAACAGTGGTAAAATGGACATAAAGCCAAAAGTTAGAACAGGACATTTTCATATCCTCCCCCAACTCAAAAACGTACTTCCCATCATCTGGGATTAAGATGTTAGGGAGCCATAGCCCCCTAAAATCCCTCACTCTTCACCTGCACTGGAAGCAAGGCAGATTACTCCTTCATCCCTAAAAGTCTCTGGGTTGGAGGGAAGCAGGGAAGGAATAAGGGGACCAGAGGGGCTGGGACTGGCATCTAGGGCCCACTGCCCAAGATGTACTAGAGATAGCTATCCTTGTCCCTATCCAATCCCAACAGGTACCATTGTCAGGCCTTGGGAGGGAAAAGAAAGGGGATAGTTGGTTTGAGAACCAGATGTGGTCTCCAAACAGTCCCCCAGCATTGGTAAAACCAGTGAAGGTGACCGGTCCAGAGTTGGGGGACCCACACCTTTTCCCTCCCACCCAATCAAGAGGTGAAAAGGAATTCCCTGGGAACACAGCAAGCCCGCTGCTCTCAGATCTCCACATCGCTTTCCTTGTCGTTGTCATGGTCTCCATCATAGAACTCATTGGGTGCCTCTGGCCTGCAAAGCAAGGGGAGAGAGGTGAGGGCCCCACTCTCCAAGTTCCAGTATTTTCCCACACAGGCACCCTCTCTGGAGCCACTTCCCAAGCCCTTTTGTCAGGGAACCACTCCTCCCCTCCTGTTGGTAGAGACTGATCACTAGTCATTCCTCCATTCATGCAGTCGGTAAGCACTGATGGAGACTACTCTGTGCCAGACACTGTCATGAGTCTCAGCAACACAGTAGAGAATAAGCCAGACAGAATTTCTGACATTCCTCAAAAACTTACCTAATAAATGAGACCGACAATAACTAAAAAAGTAAATCAATAAACATGATAACTTCAGACGACAGAGTGCTATGAATAAAATGAAATAAAGGGAGGAGTGACTGAGCGCGGTGAAGGAGGAGGATAACATTTCAGACAGGATTACGGGGAAGGCTGTTCTGATAAGGTAAGGCCTAAGGTCTGGGGGGAACTGGCCAGCAAAGAGCAGGAAGACCATTCGGAGCTGCAAAAGAACCAAGTACCAAAGTTACAAAGGTGAAAGGAGACTGATGAATTCCAGTAAGAGCAAGGAGACAAGGATGTCTGAAAGTAGTGTGCATGGAGGAGAGCAGTAAAAAGATGAGACCAAGGACGTAGGTGAGGCGAACATGCAGGGCTTTTGAAAGTCATGGTCAGAAATCTGGATCTTCTTTTAAGTGCAATAGAAAGGAGAGTTTTAAGCAGAAGAGCGACATGATATTATAAACTTGTAGAGGGGAGGGATGTGAAAGTGACACACAGCCCAGTAAGTATTCAATACTGGTTTATTTCTTTTTGAAAATTATTCTCTAGGAGAATATGAATGACTGATAACTGAATTATCTTGCTCACAGCTGATAATTAAGAAGGGAGAAAGTCATCAAAGAGAAGCTGGGGAACTAAGTCAGGAAAAGCTCTATTTGCCTAGTAGGCAATGTCTCAGTTACTTCTAAGTGCACAAAGATTCACAATGTGGAGTCAGAGACTCAGGTTTGAATGTCAGCCCTGATATTAAACTAGCTGTGAAACCTGCAGAAAGTTATTTAACCTCTTTGAGCCTTAGAATCCTCCTCTGGTAATTTCAGGATAAGAGCCACCTTTTAGGGTTGTCAGACGGCAATAGAATGATGCCATGATGATATGTATGTATCACTACAAAACACTTAGTATTGAGCCTGGTGCTTAGCAAGCTCACAAAAATTGGTAACTCTTATCTCACTATTCTGCAAATAATATGCAAGCGGGAGACATAGGCATCAAAGAACAG